TGGCCTAACCATTACAGAACCTTTGCTTCAGTAACTACTCTTGTTTTCGAGTTTATGTTACCTACTTGTATCTACTCATAAAAAATGTACATTTTATATCAACATAATTACTAATTATTTACTCACAATGGTTATTATTTCAACTTGCACCACTTCTGTAAATAAATGTAAAAGTAAAATACTCCAACGTTTTTACAAAGGCGGATTAAATAAGTGGTCCATGTAGGAATCAAAGCAGTAAATGTAAATTGTTGAGGATATACTTTTAATTTAATGTGAAACCTAAATAGGTTTTAAGTAGGAACGACAATAAAATTAACACCAACGACGCTGATGTTACGACTAAAATATATTCTACAGTGGTTCCAATGTGCCGAAGCCACGCGAATAAAACTGACCTCATAGTCTAGGTATTTGGCATCAAAATGAGTGACAATTTAAGTCCTATTAACTGTGTCACCTCCCACAACAATAATAATTGTTGCCGTTTCATAATAATTACATTTTCCTTGGTATTAATGAGGAAGAATTAAAAAATTAATGTGCTTAATTCAGTGAAACACGTGCTAATAAAATTAACAACGTCTGAAATGTAAACAAATGCTCCGTTAGGGTATAATTAACCACTTATTATGAAATGCTATTTAATTATTGGAGCCATAACATTATTATTACCTACAGCGTTAAAGCATTTTAAAAACCTTATTATGAAATAAAATTAGTAGCTCTTTGAAATCTAAAATAATTTCTATAGCATTGTGGTATTTGAGTATTGTTTATATTACTATTCCTGTAAATAATGTAATTAAAATGCAACATTTCATTAATAATCTGTAACAAATAAACAGATACTACAGCCCCGTTGTTAAAATCCATCATTGATGATGAAAAAATAAACATCTGGAGCGTATTCCTGTTAATTCAATAAAACAATAATAAATTTAAAGTGATAATTTGCTAATCACTCGAAGCTATAAATCAAAGCGGAATGCCGGTAATCCACCGTGAAGAGAGTTAATGCAAACCAAATGCAAAATATCCGTATTGATCTATGGCAAATATCGCGCGTGCTCCGTGTCAAATTTGCGCACGCTTACGCTATAAACAATAGGCAATTCTGGCGCCAATCGATGAACAACCGTCCAAATGTAACAATAAACAATAACAACTAATGCATTAAGTAATAAGTTTTAAACAAAATCATGTTTTTTGCAATAAATTATGTGAATTCAATCACTAAATACGATATATTGAATAGAGTTAGAATCGTTTTTGTAAACATTAGATCTATTTCCAAAAGAATTAACTGAAAAGTTAATAAACCTAAAACATTAACTCGAGCAACTTGCATCAATTATAGTATTATCAAAGTTACATCTGTTTCTATTATAATTTAACTATAAAATTAATGCAGAGAATATGCAAGAATAAGGCAAACAAATCTTACCTATAAATTTATTTCTCATACACAGGTATGCAAAGAAAATTTCCCAGTAAATTCCATTCATGAAATTTAGTTAAAACAATTTACTGAATATAAAAAAAATAATATAAAAGTCCAGCGTCGAACCACACCGAGCAACACCAACCACTACAGTTCACGGTGATTCGTTCGCAACTGTCGTTCTATCGTTTCGCAGTTCCCTTGCTTTGAGTTGGAGAGAGCTATACAAGCTGGCTCGAAAACCATTAACATAAATTATTAGAGGAGACAGTGAATATTGGGTCATAAACCTTCAGTGGGCTTTGAAATCTAGGGTCTTTTTCATTGTGGATTTTCGACTGAAAATGTTTCTGAACCCGGGCTGAAATTTTTACCTGATCTCACGACGATCGACGAATTATTTTTAGACTTTTTTATCGATAAATTCGAATTATTTTGCTTCGGGTTAATTTTAATTAAATTCGCCCAATGGTACTCTTTTTGTTTAATTTTCTACAACCATAAGTATATCCAGTGGTAACAAAAAATCACTGAAAGAAAATTAGTCATTAATAAAATAATTGAAGGTACGGCTTATTTTGGAATGGCATAGGTTGCTTTCTATGATGAAAAATACATGTATTTAAATCTGAGATAACAAATATCTACAAGTACCTATATCTATTCGAATCATTATTAAATTTATAATCAATATCTTTAGATAACACGTTAAAAACCCAAACCTTTATACACATAAATGCAAATTTGTATGCAATATGGTCTATGGTCTATGGTCTAAAGAAGACTTCCATTAGTCTCATATAAGGGAAAAAGAAAGAGTAACATTGTAGGATTGCAACTTTTTCTTTCTAACTCACTGTTATTTAAATAATCTTTCTTTGTCCAACTCATAGAATGAGTATTGCCAACAAATTTGCACTTAGCCGTAGATTATAAAATGGCTTATGCTAATAGGAAAAAAATCCATTCAATATACCTCCGTAACTATAAAAAAACCAAATAGGTACATTAAAAAATCCAAAAAAGCGAAAGTATAACGGCTATACGAAAGTATAACGGCTATACCTAAAAAATAAACATTTTGGAAGCCTAAATAGTTTGGACCAACTGATCCAATGAAATTCTTCAATGGGATGACTAGTAGCCATGACTGAATGGGCGTATGGGCTCAACCCTTGACGAGCGCTTTGTTAAATTATGAATGACAGCTGAAGGAAGGGTCTATTTGCGGCGTATGTGTTCAGCTTCCTCAGATCCCTCTTTATTACGAATATTTTCAATTTTGTATTGCTACACTTAAATATACAGGGTGTTTTTTAATAACATGTTAATACTGAAGGGGGAGTTTCTTGGACCATTTTAAGAAAAAAAAATTATATGAACATAATATGTCCTAAACCTAAAATTTATTATTAACTAATTTCTGCACAGCGGCTAATGCAGTGGTAGCGTACAAATGAATGCATTTAATTTTTTATGCTAAACGGTGAGTCGTGCGAAAAAAAGTCATGAAATAAAATTTGTTCTAAATTAAACAAGACCTTCAAAAATAATTTTTATTTCAAGAGAAAGCAGTGGCGTACCACTTTTACCCTCAAAAATATTTGTCGAGTACGGACGCCACTGTTGGAAATAAAAAAATGTTTTTTAGGTCAAAAATGCTCTTTAATGCATACACGCCGTACACCAAATTTCATAAAAATAAGTAAAGTGGTATGGAAATTAATGACAGTAAAATATTGATTTTTTTCTTAAAACTTTAACACCCTATATTTCAAAAGTTAAGACGTTTAGGACATATGTTCATATGAATTTTTTTTAAATGGGCCCAATAATCACCCCCTTTTGGCTTTAATACAGCGTAAAAGGAAATTATAACGATTTTTTAAAGATTACTAATAGGAGATATATCTTAAGTTACCTAAGTCTTTTTTAGGGTTTTCAAAGTTATATCTTCCTAAAGAATATTCCAGACAACCAAAAGCTCCAAATTTTAACAGAGTTCCTAGTCAAACATCCGTTATCTTGTATTATAAAGAACAATCGAACATATTTACTGACAACCTTTAATTATGATGTAAATTATAAGTCAATATAAATACCTACGTAAAATAGTATAAATATTTAAAATACAAATTATTACATAAATTTGTTTGGATGGCTAAATATTTATACAGCAAATAAATGAAAATTGCTGGGAATTTTCATAGTTTTGAAATAAACTAATTGAATTTCCCTGCAAACTATTACAATTGAAAATGTATTTAAAACAATTTCCTAAATTGCATAGTTAGCCATTTTCAAATTTTGGAATGATATAGTTCTCAAAAAATTTAATTGTAAATTTGGAAACAAATTGTAATTTACTTCCGACATCTATGGTGTAAACTGTTAAACACCTCCAAAGCCTTTCAAGAAGTCTCTACGTTAATGCACTCCGAGTATGAAGAATTCTTCAGTGTTTATTTCAGTTATTTCAACGTGTTTCAGCATGTTCCTCACTAGAGGGAGCATTAAAATTAATAAAATTATTTAAATATTACACAACAATTAATTCACTTGTGTATTGGTTATTAATACAATTTAGTTCTCTTACAAACTGACTTTAATTTTATATTTAAGCATTTTTCTACAGTACCCGTCCCGGAGAAACTAATAATTAATACTTACAATAGTTTTAGTATAGATAGCTTCATTAACATTTTTTTTAGAAAGAACTATCGTGAACCTTTAATTAGGCTGAACAATCTTATTAATAGATATTGATTGGTCTGTTCACATATACTATTTCTGAATTCTACTCTGTATACTCAAAATACTTAGAGACGTTGTTTATCTAATAAATGTAATAAATAAATAATAAATAAAGTAGTATGTTTAAGAGAGTTGAAAAAATGCTTATATAACACAGAATATTTGAATAGCAGAATCACAAATCTGCCATCTCTACTGCAAGACATAGGTACTACATACAGCATTAAAAATTAGACTGTTCATACAAAAGGACATAAATTGTCTCAACATTTTCACGTATTCGCGCATCTCATATGTAAATCGGTGCATTTCAGGTTGAAAATGTCAAAACGTTCGGTGGTCAGACGTCAAAATAAAGTCTTCTTCGTCAGTCTTCACTCTTCCATCGTTGACGTTTATATAGAAATGTTTGTATACAAGAGAGAGATTTTGCATATAAACAGTTTTTGTATTCAGATTTCAAATTGTTCGAATGTTACCATTCTGCACTGGTTTAACGGATTTCTCGGTTCTCACGTGCACGTTGAACTTTCGATTTTTTCCTGCGGGCCGCAGGAGACTCGAACTCGTGACCGCTTAGAAATAATTAATGGAGTTTTAAGGATCGAAAATTTTGTTTAACACAATGGTTTACACAGCGATTTATCCACGACTTGAAATTAATTTCGTTTCATAGCGTCTTAATTTCGTTTTGATGCAACCGTATAGTTGCTGAAACTAGCAGTTATGAATTAAACATTTCTTTTTTTGCAATTTGGATCCTTTAGATTGGGCAGGGATTTTTTTAAATAACAGATTTGTTTCTATTAATAATTTTATTCAGATTGGACAATTACAACAGTAACTATTATCAAGATGTACATTCTAACTCTTCATGTTTCACACATACAAACATTACGCCTACATAAATAAATTGAACAAAATAATAAAAAAACAATGTGGAACTAACGATATAAACACTATATTACAATTTTACAATCCTCAGTACGGCGCTTCATTATCATACCTTACGTAACTTGTATAAATACTGTTTTCTTTTGTATATTAAATTTTATTATGTGAGTTTATGCGGAAATCGAAAAAATATGTCGATTGAAATGATTATTACACCTTAAAATGTGTAGTATGAGGTATATGTAAACAAGAAATCATTGCATCACTAAGAATAGAACAATTATTTTATTTTTATTTTTAAAGAATTTTATTTGACGTTTTTACTTTTACTATTCTTTTTGAATATGGATAAGTTGAAGCAATTGATACTGATGTTGTACTGTCAAATTTTAGAAATACGAAGTACAAAATTTAAAAGCATATCTACCTATATTTTAATGGGCTGATGAAGTAAAATTTAAAAATAACGTTTTCATTGCAATTTTTAGCAACAATGAGTCATTCGAATAAATGTCTTTCCTTAATGATGCATTCCATTGCGAGTTTGCTTTATTTACAGTTTATCAATATTCATTCATTCAGTACGTAATTAAGTAATAATTTATTTTTAAACCATGACAGTATATTTACAGGATAGGTAAACTAGTATATGTACACTTTATCCTTATCAGTATATAATCACACTTGTTTCTTTTCTCGAACTATCAATTAATAAAAATGAGCTTAGTTGTAGTTTTATGAATATTAAAGAAACTATAAAAATCGAATAAGATTCAATTTAACAACGTTATTCAAAATAATATTTTTTAACAATATTGCACAATTATTTTAATTCCATTTTTTTAGAACCAAAACGATGATTGGTTAAAACAGTTTTCAGATAGGTACATACATTGTATTGAAATAATAAATTAATAATAAAAATTATAATTTTAATATTATTCGACTTAATATTCGGAAAATTTTTGTCTCTGATTATTGATGCTTACAATAAACAAACAATTCTGATTTATGTAACACCATTAATTTAATTTAATTAAAATATTTTTTGTTAGTCGATAATTTTTCTGGTTATGTAATTCAACGAAATAAAAATAATTTATTTATCAATAATCTGTAAAAATAATATTGTTATTGACATATTTATAAAACGGCATTATCGATACATCTTGTTTTTCGTCCGATTCTTATTAATTTAGCTTGACTGTAGAATAATATACGAGAGCTGAGAAATTTTACTATTTCCTTTTCACAGCTTTACACATTTTTTAACCAACGCACGTCTTAACGTTTATTGGCACTAATTAATATTGTTAATCGTGGTATTTCGCGACGTTTCACGTTTTCTTACTGCGAAATTTCACCAGAAAACCCTCCTTAAATCAGCAGAAAATGTTGTTTTTCAACCAATTCATTAATATAATGAATATAAAATAATTTATTTATAAGCGTGATCCAAATGTTGAGATTCTGAAATACCTACATAATATTATAGTTGCTTAATAAAACAACACGCTAATTAGTAACTAATTAATATCTCAGTAACTTTTTATGTAACCAGGTCAAGTAAGTTAACATTTAAATGAAATTGATAAGTCATATTTTAATTAATTTGACGGTTATCACAGTGTATTTTTTCGTAAAAGATGAAATAAAAATTAAGCATCAAAATAAAATAAGAAAAAAAGTTCCTACATGCATTAACCCAACATCAAATATAACTGTTAAATAGCAAGATCAAAAAAATTGCATTTAATTCCTCGAGTATAATTTAATTATTTCGATAACCAAGTTGCATAAATCAACAACAGCCAGTTCCTGCTAATTTAACGCGGGAGTTCTCTAGTTAATCCACGACATGATCCGACGCGTTACCACGATTCGAAGACTGCCCCAAGATCCGAATTCGCCCTACGAGGGGCCGCAGTCTCCGTTATAGGTGGCCCAGGGCTAGCTGTAGGGACTACCGCAGGCGTAGAGACCGCGCTGCATACCTCCCATACCTCCCATCCCCATGGCCTGGTGGAATGCATATCCTTCGTCCTGGAGGGAAGCCAGGTGGAAATCTGGAACATGAGACCGGCATGAAGCGATTGCCTTGATTGGTTTCCACATAGGGATGGAAGGGGTGGAAATGAACTGAGTTGAAAATTTTAAAGAACAAATACATCGAGCATTTTAATTGATGCGATGCTGCATTTAGATCGACTTGCGTTTGTTCTTAAACTAATTAAAGACAATTAAGCATGCTTGATGAACCCAAATAATTATCAACTAATTACACTATAATTAAGGGTATTATTTTTTATATATTTAACTACTTAAACTCTTATAAGCTATTTAATGTCTAAAGCAATTTGATTCAATTGAATTCTATATCAATTCTAACAAGTTTTAGTAATTCTAATTTGTATATAGAAAACTATTAGTATCAAATCAAATATTTGAAATTAATATTAAATGCAAATTATTAAAAAAATCTTTCCAAATATAGAAATTCATAGAAAATTCAATGAACAGAAAAGATAAGAACAAGAATTAAATGATTTACATCTAATAAATTTGAAATAAATTATTATATCAAAACACATTGTAATACTGTTATTAGTTATCGTTAACAAAGCAACAGAAACTTTGTTATTAATATGTACAAGCATAATTATATTGCAAACTACTGGCTATTTACAATCAATAGTTTGTAAAAAATCAAATCCCTGTAATATTCCGAATTTGTTTCGATTCAATAAAAGTAAGTAAAAAAAACGAAAAAACAAAAATAAAACAAAATACCTATATAACAACAGAATCACATTCAAAAAACATCCTAAGTCGCAAGATGAGCAAACTGACTAGGATGCAGGTCAAACTGATAAGGGTGACCGTAAGGAGACATGTGATAAGGAACGATATTCATACTGGCCATCTTGTGCTCCTTTTTCCATTTCATCCTTCGATTTTGGAACCAAATTTTGATTTGACGTTCCGTTAAACACAGCGCGTGAGCTATTTCGATCCTCCTTCGCCTCGTCAAGTAGCGATTAAAATGGAATTCCTTCTCCAATTCTAACGTTTGATACCTCGTGTAAGAGGTCCTTTGCCGTTTGGTTTCACCATTTGCGTTCACCGTACCTGAAACCAATATTATAATCAGAAACAATCCAGTTATAAACAACAATAAACATTAAAATTTATAGATATAACTCGTGGTTTTAGTACAGGGGAACAATTCCAAAACGAGCCCCAAAATGAACTTCTTATATCAATTAAAATTTGAACAATCAATCATTTTTAAAAGTACCTACTAAATTAAATGCTGCTATTAATTCATGGCGGCGAATCGCTTTAAAAAATTGATTAATTTATATAAATAAATTTGTCTTGGCAATGTTCGTTAGAAGGAAGAAAAAACGCCGAATCGTTTGCGTTTTATTTCGTCCAGCATGTGCGTATAAAACTATATTTTTGGCATGTTGACACTTTTGAAATAAGCTAGCATTTGTGAACGCTGTAAATCTCGGTATTCGAACAAAAAAAAAATAAAAATAAAAGGTTAGTCTAAATTTAATTTACTCTACTATCTGAACGAATCATTGGAAGATGAATTTGGTTACGAAAGTAATGTAAATAAATAGTTTTTCTCATCATCGAATTAGTTACTTTGATATTAGTGGTTTTGGTGAAAATATTGAATTGATCTTTGAGAAATGTTTGACAGAAAGTGTTAATACATAATAAGCATCAATTAATTAAATTCTGATTGCTCAAAAGTTTAATTAAGTTTGAATTATGATTATAATCATTGTTTAAATGATTATAACATATTAATACGAGCTAATAAAATATTGGTTAACAAATTAATAGTTTAATAACAATAATAGTTTTTTAATTTTTAATATCCTATCTAAATAACCTTTGTAAACCACCAAGGAATCCATACGATAACGTCACATGATCCGAAACTATTCATCATTAACGGCAACTATCAGATATCCCGTATCTTAAACCTCGTGTATTAGTTCATTGTATTGTTCGAGTTTGATACATATAAATTTACATCTGTCACACGATTATCTGGAGATATCTCTTATGAAAAATTAGTTTTTATTTCCAACGTTTAGCGGGAAACGTTGTATTGGAGAACGGTACACGGGCATCATTATACCAAAGCTTGTTTTACAAAATATCTATCATTAGGATAGTGAAAGTTGTGGAATTAAACAACCCAATTTTCCTAATTTTGATATTTATTTACCTTGTTATTGTCGGTTGGAATATCATTTGATTATGAATGATTATATGGATGTAAGTTTTAACAAAATATCCTAGCGACTTTATTTGTAACTTCGGGTTATTTAATTAAAAGCAACATCAGAATGCATATAATCCTCTATAAATAATTCTCCTCCTACGCCGTGAAAAGCACATCATGTAATTTTTCTTAGTATCTCGAAACGGTGGGTAACCTGTATAAAATCGCAGTCCTGTAGCGCACTCTTACACAGATTAATTTATCGAATTTCTTCTGTGTTTATACAACTGTTTAACCGATTCGTAATCGTGTTATAAATCTCGATTGCGCTATTTCATTCGCGTACTATAAGCAGACGAAATGTTTTATGGAAAAGGTCGTGGTTTTAAGTAATAGGTGACATTATTTTTTTGGAAATCTCATACTCAATATGATTTTATTCTTTCATCAATATCTTAACATCTTCTGGCTGTTTTTTTTATTTTTTGGAACCTTTGCGATTTCCTTTTACATGCAGATGTCCTTTGACATTAAATCGATTATGACCTGTGCCTAAATCATGAAGTGTGTCACAAATCAATAGAAAATTAACGTCACATGTACAAATTACAGCTCATTTTGCGTTCATTAGGGTCAATAATTCAATCATATCGTTTTTTTATTCGACTCCTCATTTCTATAGACCCGTATTTTCGACACGAAGAAAGCCATCGACGTGTAAAAAATCAACGGACCGCGATGAATTTATCATGCAGTGACAATTCAATTGTAGATATTTCCACTCGCCTACACTATTTTTCGCGGTCCTGCGACGGATTCATTGATATCATGGAGATGTTTGTTTCCGCGCCCGTCTTTCACTTGTCACTTTATACACGTCTCGACGTCTCTGTCCTGATGACGGCCTTTTTTTGTAGAGAATTATCGACTTTCCACGTTAAATTATAAACACACGCGTAGTCACGAAAAACGAGTTTTCAAAATTCCAAGTATCTAAATAAATTTGTTAAAATAGAAAGCGATATAAATCAAATCACAATGTTCCTACGGCCCTTTCAGTTTTGAGTTTCGCTTTCGTTACGCCGATTTAATGTATAGGTATTTAGAAGACCTTGTCTGGAATATGCAAATTCGTGAATTTACAACTCTTCTCTTAACCTATTCAAGGTTGTAGTTCTTACATTGAAAATAATGCTATTTGGCGCTACTCTAAATTCGGCCAGGTTTTACCAAGGTCTCATTAAAATTTATTATATCTATCGGTATTTTTTGTAAACAAAAAACGTATTCCAAATTTGGCGTTAACTTAAGAAATATTTGCAAAATTTTAGATGACGTTCGAGATAGTTGTAGCCTAATTTAGAATTGTTCAAAACCAAACTGTCCAGGAAGATCCAAAGATTATTTGGAATGTTCAAGGATCAACTAGAAAAGTCCAGAACCATTTAAGTTCAAAAATGGCGAACACGACCATTAATAGCCCACACGCAGGAATTGATATTCGAAACAAACGGGCCGTTCGTAGGCGTCCATCATTGGCCCATTGCCAGTACGTATTTGATTTATTCAGTGGCAGTGGCGAGATTTTGAGTGAGACGGGCTACAAAACACCTATGCCTAAAATGAATTACTGCTTGCCGTGTCGTTTGGCCGTGTCCGCCGATTGCAAAACGTTTCTAAATCGTTTTGATGTCGCTTTTTAGATCGTCGCGGCCATTCCTGTTACTATAATTGAATCAGAAGTGAATACTATTTCAAGAAAATATAATTGCGAAAGTATAGCAGGAGTCAATTGGCTATATTTTATAGCAGGTATTAAGGTGTATCTGAATGAGAAGCATGGTTTGATAAGAACTACAGAACTAATCCATAAAATTTTAAAGAATTAAATGAGATCAATTTATCAATCGGCCCTATTCACTAAGCACTTCACTGGTTTTCGCCAAATGTATACCACCCAATTCATTCAGAAGCATCTTCTAAAAGTGAGCAAAAAAAGTCGATACATTAACATCGGTTAATGAAGGTTAGCGGTAGGATGAATCTCGAAATAATCCGAAGGAAACAAGAGCGGCATTGTCCCTCCCTTGCGTTTGGAGAGGCATTCACGGTTTGACTGTCACTTCTGGCGTTCCCCGTAAAATAACAACATCTGACATATTCCCCGTGTTTCCCATTCCAGGATAGTTCCAGACGCTGTCGCGACTCATCTCGATTTCAGACCTCACATATCATATATCTGGGCGTGTGATTGGCATGTTTTTCTTACTCGTTTATTTTTATTGTGTAATGCATTTGGCCAAAATTCGCTCTTTTTTAGCACCTTATTTTGAACAGGTGCTTTAAGTATCAAAATATTTTTTGATCAAATTAATTACAAACCGAAGTATAGAAAGAAAACTAAAATCTATTGCATTTTTTTACACATTCATGATCGTAATAAACACGTTTTTCTATGTTTTGGGATCGTTTATTTTTAGACGGCAAATTGATTTCAAATTGTATTCAAGAATACATGAATTCCTGATTAGTGCCTATTATTCTGTCCGTTACGTAAGGTTAAATTTATGTAGGCACAAACCTATGTTTTAAAATTGATGGAAAACGTACGTATTTTATACCTACATTAATAATAACATTAAATATTAAAATATTACGATATCCATATACAAGTAAACACAGTTAAATTATACTTCATATCATTACAATTAATTTCTTATCTGCGTACCGCAAAAAAGGTTTTGCTATGGTCTGTGCTTTCCAAAGAAATTGCACCGTTAAAATAGGGGCAAGAAGAAAAAGTTGGAAATAGATATACTGCGGGTAATTACCGTCCATTTAAATTGTCGTTTTGATATAAAACTTTTTTCTATTAATTGAAATGAATACGCCGTTTTACTTAGGTACTATCTAGTTATAAAAAAATAAAGGCATTTATGCTTTTATTGGTACTAGATACCTGCAGTTTTGAACTATAGTCTGTGTTATAAGTTTGTTTTATTTTTATTGAATTAAAATAACACAATGTCTATTGTAGAACAAAGTAGACACTAAAGTAACTTTAACTCTAACAGTTAAAAAGGAAGATTGATCATTAGAATGCGTTGTAAAATTGTGTTAGATACTACGGGTTATTAAATATTTGGCTCTATGCTCCGTTAGGTATGACGGATATTTTTCGTACATTATTCATGCATTATTATTTATCAAACTTAAATATTTCTGTAACTTCTATTGTAGTCCTAGTAATATATTGGAGGTCCCTTGTCCTATATTATTTTCTTTATATATGAGCACAAATTTCTTTAGCTACATTATTGCAAATATGATACTCTCTGGTAGCAATTGAAATTATTTATTTATGTATATTTTCTTTTATTGGCGAATGTAAAATAATTTTAATTAGTTATTATAAAAGTATAATGTCACAATATTAAAAATTATGCAATTGATGTTATTGAATGTTATTATTACAATCACAATGTTAAATGTCCGATAAAAAATCGTAAACATTAATTAAAGTTAATATATATACTAGAAATAACATGATGTATTTAATCACAGTTTAGCGAGATGGATTATTATTTACCCAAGAAAGAGAAAAAACACTTAAGTTCTGATATTCCCTTATCGCTTTACATTATTATTAATGCTATTAATAAACACCATACATAATTATTTACGCTTTGTTTATAAAAAGATAACAACTGGAAAGATTAACTCGATGTAATTGTATGCCAGGTATTTTTAAGACAATTATATAAATATTGATGATACTTGTAAACATAACGTGAAATACATCTTTAACATTCTATAGTATCTATGTATGTATACCGTAAATAAATTTGAAAATAAAATTGCATTACGTTTTAGTTTGAAT